ACCTCTTTATAACTATATTCATTTTTCAATTTATATTTTTTTAGAGGAAATTCGATTGGGATCCCACAATCGAATTAGAGGTGAAAACCATGTTTCACAAATGTGCTGCAACAAAGCTAATTGATATGATTAGCCGAGTCAAAGAAAGGGGTATCCAGCCATATTGGATTCTGGATGATGAATACAAAACTCTCGTTGAGTATTGGGGAACCGAAAAAGCTAAGGAGAGAAGCAAAAAAGCTTCCAAGAGCCGGATGTCTGACCGAAATGGTTTGGGACCTCATAAGCATCGAGCGGGTTCACGTTCCTATGCCAAAGTTGCTGATCTTTTAGTAAGTGATACTAGTTTAATTTTAATAGTTTTTAAAAGTTTACTATAATGTTTTTGTTTATATTTTATAGAAAGAAAAAACTGGAGCTGCATCATACATAGATGTTCTTCGAGAGACTCACAAAAAACCAGATGGGTCTTTTGTTGATGAGAGGGCGAAGCAGATTAGCGAGGGATATGAGCAAAAGATAGCTGATCTTGAAAATGAAATCGCAGCAATGGAAGAGGTAACTCATGAAAAAAAGAATGAAATGTATTTACAGGTAACATAATAAATTCTTTAAATAGTTTATTGTTTTTCAAATATTCTAAATTGTCTTACTAACAATTTATTATATATTACAGATTGTGGAGGCAACAAATGGTCGTGTGTTTGGTCTAGGAGCTCTTTTCAGTGAACTCTCCATTAAGGGTGGAGTGTCAGCTATCTTTGAAAATAATGTGGAAAATGAGGAGGCTCTTAAACAAAAACTGGAAGAGATTTATGAAGAGAATGAGCAAATCAAAGAGAGGATCAACAAGCTCGAAGGGTTGGAGAAAATGATCCACATATTGATCCCTCATCTATCCACAGCTCGTGCTAACAACTAAGTGTTTGCTTAGTTGTTTTATTTATGCTTATTAAGTTTTTTTCATGGATTTTAGTTTTTAAGAATCGTTGGTTTTCTACTGGTTTTAAATTTATGCATTGCTGGAATAATTATTTGATTATTTAATAAAATAAGTTATTTTCTATTATTATTATTAGAATATATATTAAATAAATATTTATAAATTAATAATTTATGTGCTGAAGAAACATAATATAGTTTCTATAATTAATGTTGCAAAAAGAATTGCAATCTTAAAAATATGCAATGAAATTATGCCTATATATTTGTCGTAAAAATGCGACGAGTATAAATTGTAGTGAAATTTTTGCAACATTTTTTTATTCCATCATCGTCATAAAATATGCAACAATATTTTTTTATATTTTACGTAGCTTTTCTTTATGACAATTTATAGTTGCACCAAAACGTCACAATTATACAACCATTTTGCTGCATAATTATTGTTGCAATAATACAACACATATAACAATAAATGTCTTCATGGAAATTTGCAATGAAATTTGCTATACGTTTTATGTCGCAATAAGTTGTAACAATTTAAAGTTGCAAATATATGTCACAATTTTACAACAAAGTTACTACAATAGTTTTGTTGCGATAATACGACATAATAGCAAGAAGTCAATTCATTGTAAATTTTGTGACATATATGCAACAAATGTGAGTTTGCAACACTCAAATAGCAACAATACAAAATGTGTCTCAATTTTGTTGCAACCTGATGATTTGCAACGGTATTTTAAATTATTGTAACAATTTTTGGTGTTGCAAGATCACTCTTTTTTTGTAGTGTTGTGCCTAAAAAAGGATTAAAAATATGGACATATACAACACTCTTGAACCAAAACCTCCCCATTCTCGTTAAAGAACATGTTCGGGAATAAGATAAGGTGTATCCCTAAAGGGTGTTAGCGAGTTAGGAATAGAAACAAGATGAAGACAGAGCATTAATCAGCAAAAAACGATAGGTAGTCCTTTCAACGGTAATTCGAGTTTAATGGGAGCTGTGGAATTTCCGAACTTAATGTGTTAGGTAGACAATGCTTGCTCACTCTAATGAGCACAAGGTCAAAGTCGGCAATCAAAGTAAGCTGATATTACCGGCCTGGAGGCAAACATAATACGTTTTTGATGTAACTCAAGTAAAGTCTGAGTTAATTTTTTTGCATCATTGTAACAGGAAATATATTTCATTTAAATAAATAGTGAATAACGTAACTCTGGTTTAGTTTTGATTATGATTATCCAATTTACATAGTAATCTCAGTGAAACGGCATATTACCACAAAAGTTGATTGTTTAAAATGTAACTTAAACTTTATGTTTTTTTTTTTTGATAAACCCTATCGGCTGATCCGGTCAGCGTCGGTAGAAACACACCAAAGTGCTTCAGAGTGGACTCAAACTCTATATACAACGAGAGCGTCTATGCAGAATGATAAAAGCATACATTTTATCTAACAAAAACCATATCAATTTTGTAATATTTTCATTTTGGGAATGTAAGTGAGACCTGATGAAATTAGAACACTTAGCCATAACATACGAGGATTTCAATGCACCATTCGGCTTTCTCTAATACCATACAATTCTGTGCATGCGTACGTGTTAAGTTTGTATTTATGCGTATCAGCGTATGGGTCATGTGTCTCCACACAGCTTTAAACTACTGAGTGAATAATGGCTACACATCATTTCATTCTTGACTTGACTCGAATCATCTCTAGATCAACAATAGTGACATCTTGGCATGTAGAAAACAAAAGAAATTAAATTCGTAGCTAAAAGAAAACTTAGACTGTGACCGATTCCGAATCCCTTAATATATATAGCTACAGCATGTCTCACCCATATCACAGAAGCAATCACTTGGCAGCATTAGTAACCAAGTAAACTGATAATAAGATACCTTATACTTGGAATCTGTTCAGAACACTGTTAGTCCCTCCTTGTCCATCTCCAAGGAGGCGATTCCATCTTCCACTATGAAGGGGAATCAAGAACTACAGGTCATTAGTGAGTAAGCATAAACCAGTAAACCTACTGGTCTTTTATTCTTACCTTATTTTCCATTACTTACCAGTTCAGCAGGAAAAAGAACCAAATCCAACAGATCTTGACGAAAGAAATTGGGTCAGTGGCAGCCAAACAAAAGTATCTCCCTCTAATACTTACACTCGGTGGCTCCGGATGGCTATCTATACATTCTTTGTTGTTTCAGGCCAATCAGTTGCTACAGTTCTGGGCAGACTATACTATGAAAATGGAGGAAACAGCAAATGGCTAGCAACAGTAGTTCCGCTTGTAGGCTTTCCTATTCCACTTCCATATTAGCTCTTGTCAGTCAAAACATATACAACAACTCAAAGAGATGACGAAATAACCTCACTTAGGAGCCGTGCTTTGGTTTACATAGTGCTTGGACTTCTTGTAGGAGCAGCTTGTTACCTATACTCCATCGGACTGCTTTACCTACCTGTTTCTACCCTTTCCCTGATATGTGCATCACAGTTAGCCTTCACCGCTTTCTTCTCTTATTTCCTCAACTCACAAAAGCTTACGCCTACCATTTTGAATTCTCTTTTCCTCCTCACTATATCTTCCACCCTCCTTGCATTTAATAATGAAGAAACAAATTCCAAAAATGTTACAAAAGGAGAATATGTCAAAGGTGCTGGATTTGGATTACTCTTATCCCTACAATAGCTAGCCTGCCGTAAGGTTCTAAAGAAGCAAAATTTCTCAGAAGTTATGGACATGATAACCTACATGAGTCTCGTGGCCAGTTGTGTTAGCGTGGTGGGGCTTTTTGCTAGTTGTGAGTGGAAAACTTTGAGCAATGAAACGGAAAGCTACAAACTCGGACAGGTATCCTATGTCATGAACCTAGTCTGGACAGCTATTACCTGGCAGGTAATCTCCATTGGTGGCACAGGACTGATCTTCGAGCTTTCCTCCCTATTCTCAAATGCCATAAGCGTTTTGGGACTCACAGTGGTTTCTATCATGGCTGTCATCATTTTCCATGACAAAATGAACGGGTTAAAGGTGATTTCTATGATCCTAGCTATTTGGGGTTTCATATCATATGTCTACCAACAATATCTTGATGAAAAAAACTCAAAAAAAAGTCATGGCATCCCAACAACAGAATCCCCTGACCCACCAGAAGCAGAAGGGTCAAGTGGGCAACCACAGTAAGCCGATATTTCGAGAAATGGTAACCACAGTTTGCAGAGTAAATCGAGCGGAACAAGTAAACTTACCTTTCTCTACCAGCCTTAAGGCAGCCTACAATGAAGGATGAACATAATAGATTTGTGGTGCAACTCAAATGAAGTCTCAGCTAGATGTTTTGCATCATTGTAACAGGAAGTATATTTTATTTAAATAAATACTGAATAATTCTGGTTTAGTCTGGAATATGATTGCCCAAATCACATCATACGCTCACTGAAATAGCATTAACCAAGTCAGAATATCTGATTACAAATGTTATTTTTGAAAAAAATTGAGTTCATAGCAACTAAAGCAGAATATTACGAAAATGTAACTCAATTCTGTATATAAAGAGAAGGTGTACGCTATGTAGCTTTCTAAGTTATTGTAATGTATATCAAAGTGTAAGGAGAGTTCCAATCTGCTTACATCAGGCACCCAACATAGTGAGCCCGAGGATACTTCTTTTGCAGTTGTGGCCATTGAACAAAGAATTGATCAGCTATCCTCAACTTGTAAAGCAGGAATCCACTTAATGAGAGCTTTTTCACTCTTGCTACACTCTCAACATAAAAGATTGATGACCATCTAATTCCCATCACCTGTAACCCAAGATGAAAACAAGCACTTATTGGAATTCTAGATGTAATGGAGATCCCATGAATTAGAATCAAATAAAATATCTATTGTTGTTTTCACTAGTCCATTAAAGGTCATCCAAAAGTAGAGGAAAGAGGTACAATGAATCTTAATAAATCATTTTTGAAGTGTATGTATACCTTGAATAAGAAAGCAATCACACACAGAGGAATACAGGTCCCAGGACCATTGCAAAGAATCTGAAAAACTTCAACCAGATGTAATAAATAACCTGATTCATATGTTTCTATAAAAAAAAAAACCCTTAAAGAAAGTCTGAAAGCATTCGGTTAAGTATCATACCACTTGTGGTCTGATCCGTATCATTAGCCACAGAGCATGAACAATAGCAACAATGGTAGTCCAAACAGAAGTCACATAAGACTGACCAACTTCACGACTCCGGTAAATCTTCATGAACTGTGATGATGCTTCCTTGACAACAGGCTATGTCACAGCCATATCAAGCAAGAAACACAGAATTAACCATTTGGTTAAAGAATTTCATACTGATGAATGCAGTATCAACCACCCAAGAAACCAATCACATCTTCCCCGAACAATTTTTTACCTCATGACAATCATAAGCCAGAAGCAGCAAAATCCAAAGAGGAAGGCTAATCATTCAACCGAAATCGAAATTAAGGATTTAACTAACCTTCTCGGCTACAGAATCTTCAAAACTGTGAGCTTTCTGGAGACTCATGTTATCAGTAGCTGCAGCAATGTAAAACCTTGGTGTAAATCTGTCCTTACGCAAAACAGAGAGGAGACTCAACATCTCTGCGGTGTGCCCACCTGATAAAAATAAATAACCAACAGCAACATTTTAGCTAAATATGATAAGAACAACACATTAATTTTAGCTGAACAGGGAACTCTATGATTAACTCTTCTTACCAGAACCAAGAACAACAAGGGTACTAAAAGACTGTGAAGCTCCTTTTGGAAAGGGTTTGCCACACCAGTATACAACGTACAGTACACGAACCATTAAAAGAACGATTGCCAAAACAATCAATAAACCAATGCTCAATTTTGTGCCCATCTTCGAGTAAAAGCAGCTGCAACCTTCCTCCATGATCCAGATATCACTCTTCTCTTCCCAAACTACATTTGCACAAAACATGTTCAGTCAAGGGTTTAAGTCTTTATGGGTAAACCCGAATGGGTTTTAGTCTATATGGGTAAACCCGAATGGATTTTATTCTATATGGGTAAACCCGAATGGGTTTTAGTCTATATGGGTAAACCCGTGGGCACCAGAATTTGGTTTAAAAAAAATCAGATGTAATTTATTTTCTGTATTTGTTTTTTTTATTTGTAAATTTTTCTGTATATTTTTCTATTCTATTGTACATTATTTTGTGCCTTTTATTGTATTTGGGAAAATATGTTATTTCACAAAATACATAGTTTTATGTTATATGGAGAAATTATACCAAGTATATTTAAAAATTATATGTGTGACCATAATCTCTAATAAAATTCATTAAATTATCTTCATTCTCGGCATTCAAACGCGCCATTGTGTCTAGTGATTGCGAATCCATTTGGAATCAAACCATAACATCATCACAAAGGCTGTTAAAAGCTGAGAAACCTAACAACAAGAAACCCTTAGAAACTAAACCAGCAATGAAGATGAGTTTTAGACATCCATGCATAAGTAACATTATTGCAAAAGATGATACGAAGCTAACAGTGACATTATAAAACAAGACTGACTCAAACCAAAACAAAACAAAACTAAGTTGATAAGTGGATGTAAACAAGTATTAAAGTAACATGTAGCTTATGGTATAAGAAGCTAACAATGTCCAAACACATTTTATCAACTCAGGACATCAGATACCGTAGGCAATCATCACCAATGACACAAAGACAAAGCAATTTAATATATAAAAGAGAAAAGTGCAATCTCAGCCGAAAGATGGTGATCTAGTGATTTTGACAAACGAGTAGACAAGAAACAGAAGAGGTCAGATGGTAGTGCATGTCTTTGTATCAACACTGTGTTTCAGATTTGCAGAAGTATGGAATTATGTCCTCATTCCTCCAATAAAAATCAAAACTTCAAATCAAATTCATAAAATTGAAAACACAAACACAATGAATCGAATCACAAAGATCAAACTAATCGAATCAGTAAAATCATTAGTAGCTAATTCTAATGCCAAAAAATGAATTAGAATCAGACTTGTGTTATACATGTGTTTATACGGAACCTAAGCTAAGATTTAAAAGCCATCAACACAAGCCACTAAGCCAGACAACACAAACCACTAAGCCAGACAACACAAACCACAGGAAAAAAGGGTTTTAAAGAACTAACCAGAGGAGAAAAGGGTTGCCTCAGATCTCTTTGGTTGCTTTATAACAATGGCTGCACTGTCCTGTTACAAACCAAAACATCAAAATCAAGAGTCTTTAACTGATATTAAACCCTAAACGAAATTAAGAAGATATCTTACAGTTCTTTGCCCAGGTAGATACAGAGAGCTTCGGGGAAACCAAAAAGGATTAACTCTTCAGTCCCTGCACATGTGGATTCAGAGGCTCAAGCATCAACCAAAATGTTTAAAATCCTGGATTGAATGAGAGTAAAACAACATAAACAAAAAGAATTTCATAAGTGAAACAAACTGCATAAACCAAAGATTAGCAAACAAACTTACAACTTTGTAAACAGAGCTATCAATGTGGTTGATCTGAAACAGTCTATTTCATTCAATGCAAAACGCCCATCACCTTTGAGAAAGAGGTAAGAAACATCAGTAGACACATCAGAAACCAGTAGACACATCAAGCTCCAAAACCTGACAAGCTCGAGTAACCATTTGAAAAGATCAATATGTAATTGTTTTCTTCCCCACAAACCAGAAATGTGCACTAGCTTCTACCTAATGCAAGCCTAACAAATCTGTAAAATGCAAAAAAAAAAAGACATATTGAAACAATTTGGAACAAGCCTATTGCGATTCAGAAACTCTTGGAACCTTTCGAACAAATCTCTAACACGAAACCCACAAACCCAATTCAGAAACTTTTGGAACCTCAGAGACTTAGAATCGAGACTTACCTCAGATGTGCAAAACCCAGAAGAAGAAGAAGAAAAGCAATGGAGTTTCACTATATGACAGCAGCGATTTCAGAAACCCAGAAACGAGAATGGTGGCTCCGTGACTGCATCGAATTCAATCTGTAAAACCCACTTCGAAATTGACAATGTAAAGCTCAGTCCTTGACCAGCAATGGCGGAATCGAGTTGTATCTTAATCGAGGGGAAGAGTTAGTTTTGAAGAAATAAGAATGTCAAGGAACGTTGTCGTTTTAGATGATATGACTTGCAACAAAAAAAAAAACTCGATGGGTTAGTAGTAAAAGAAAAATTCCATAAAAAATCCCCATTTAATTTTAACTTGGACGTTTAATACCTAATGCTATTGGAATGGAAAAATTAAAGGGGGAATTTCAAAAATACCCCTTTTCATATATTTTTTTTTAAAAATACCCCATTTTCAAACTTTATCAAAAACTCCACTAAAAATGTTGAAATTTATCAAAATATGTGTGTAAGCTTATAAATATATACACAAATTACCTTTATATGTGTATAAAACTTTATATACCTTTCATAAATAGCGTAAAAATAAATTATAAAAACCTTATAAAAACCTTATAAAAACCGTATAAACCCTTTTAAAAACCTTTTAAAAACCTTATAAAACTTATAAAAACGATTTAAAACTATTTAAAACATTTTAAAATATTTGTATCGAATCTCCCAGTAGTAGTTATTATATAGAAGTACCTTATAAACTATATAAAACTTTATAATTTTTAATATAAAAAGGGGTATTTTTGAAAATGGATAGATAAAGGGGGTATTTTTAAAAAGGGGTACACCAAAAGGGGTATTTCTCAAAAATTCTCAAAATTAAATACCTGATTTATTAAATTGTGTCTAATTAATACACTAAATATTAAAACGTTGTATGATTGAACAAACCGCTTAACGGACGTTAATGGTCCACGGAATCACTAAACCGTGCTTAATGGTTAACAAAACGTGTGTAATTGGGGTTAACAAAAGACTACGGTGTCCTTTTGTTATTTGTAGTCTTTTGTTATTTCCACCAAATCGATCTGGGATCGAGAATCCTAATCGAATTTCACTCTTATGTTCTTCCAATTTCTCTCTTCTATGTTTCATCAGCTAAGGAACCGATGATTTAGTTCTTTACTTGGTTCCATTTTTTTTTCAAGTGACAGTTAAGAGATTATAGCAAGATGAGGTATGTCGATTTATGTTTTTAGTGTTTCAATTTCTGGGTTGGTTTCGATTTTAGGGGTTCCGATTTCGGGGTTTAGGGATTTTAGGGGTTTCGATTTCTGGGGTTTGCTCTATTCTATTTTTGGGTATGATTTCTCGCTTTAAGGTTTGTGGGAATAAATTTTAGGTTCGTGGAAATCAATTTTAAAATCGATTTTTGGGTTTGATTTTTGGGTTTTGCGATCTAAAATTGGGTATTTTTGTGACTGATAATTGCTTATTTCTTCTTATAAAGTGGTTTCGAGTATCTCAAACTCAATATACATTACGGAGGAGATACATTAATCAAGGATGATGTGTTCGATTATGTTAGAGGGTCTCTAAAGAAAGACATGTTGATGGATCCCGATTTGATGATTTGGTCCATTTTTGAGGATTTTTGCAAGAAGAATGGAGTCAGTGGGGAAGTTGAACAAGTTTGGTATAAGCTTCCTCACGAGGACAAATGATCAGCACGAGTTATACAAGACGACAAAGATGAACAGGGGAAGTTCAGAACCCTCCTAATAACCACAGCCACAAAACTCTCCTTCTCTTTGCTAAAACTCCCAAGAACAGGCCACATTACTCCACAAACCTTTGAAAACCAAACTTTGGATCAACTCTCACTCTCTGTTCTTTTTTCTCCACTTTCAGGAAACGAGAAAACACCTAAAAGTTATAAAAGTTGTTGACAAAAAAAAAAATTAATACAAGCTATCTACTATAATATTTTTTGCAACAATGTTTGCAAAAATACCATAATCCACATTTATTACTCTTGATAGTTTTAATGTTGTGTAAAAGAATTAATGCAAAAACATTTAATTACTTTTTCTTATAACAAAAAAAAAATTAATATCATTTTCTAATTTTTAATTTTATTTTCTCCTTTCATATTTATATGATCTTTTATTTATTTTTAAATTCATTATATTACATATGTATAATAAAATTCAATTTTTCACATATATTGTAATTTGAATTTTTTAAACGGACGTATATTACTTCCCGTGTATGGTAGAAAATTTTTATACAATGATTCAGAAGCACTATAAATTGGACTAATATGCTTCTAACTACAAATAAGCATAAAACTTGATTTCTCTGTTCAAATTTAAACATTTCATTCGGTTTAATCTAATTTTTTATTTGACAAATTTAAAACTTTTAAAACTTTCACATATTTTAATATTTAAAATTTTTGAAGCTTTTTAATCAATATTTTAATATTTAAATCAACTTTTTTAAAGTGGGTTGTCTCTACTCGCACATCGGTCTTATTAAATAAGATATACTCTTGATTTCAAATGATGATAAGTTATTATGCAAAATAACTAGCTATGGAATCAATTATTACAAGTTTTTTTGTTTTTAAAAATAACATTTATACACGGGTTGTATGACGAGATGAATTTTAATCTTATATTTTCAAAATGGATTAAAACTTTATTATACTATTTTTCAACAATATCAATATAAGATATGTCGGAGCAAACTGATTTAGTTAAGTTTGATACTATGTAATTTTAACTATGGTTACAATAAATTGAAGCATAATATAATAATTTGAATTTTAATATAAAAACTAAAACTTTGTACTAAAAGAATAAAAAAGTAAAAAAAAAATCATACTAAAAAACTTGAACATATGAGCAAGTATTGATCTATGAGAAAAGAAACACATAATTTTATTGAAAAACAAACGATTGGATGAAACAAAACAAAGCAATTGTCATATTGTATGAAACCTCATGGGCATATATATCTATCTAGCTATATACTCTTTTGAAGTTGGATAATTCGTGAGCAATACTATTTTGATAAATTTTTATACTCTCAACATGACACTGTACATTACATAAAGTAAAACAACTTAAAAAAAAAGAATTAGATATAACTTTAATCCTTGATCCCACATCATTGCCAAAGTCACCTTAACTCCCTTTAATTAGTTTTGTCCATAAAAACAAAGGGTTAGTCTGTCGCCGATTGGACTCTTTGATATTGAGTTCTTGGAGCATATTTGGATCAGTTTGATGCAGTTTTGATCCAAATATTTGGAGCATATCAGCAAGTAACGTGATGGAAAGCCATAACGTGATAGAAGTCTAGCAGCTGAAGATGTCAGCAAATGAAGTGATGTAAAGCGACAACGAGTTTGAAGGATCAAACATGCATCAAACTGATCCAAAGATGATCAAAAAACTCAACATCGACGAGTCCAATCAGCAACAAATTAACCCTTGTTTTTAAGGAAAAAAAAACTAATTAAAGGGTTAGGTGACATTGGAAATCATGTGGGATCAATGATTGAAGTTGAATCTAGTTATGTCATAAAGAACAAAATTTCAATGTGATCTAGAAATGTGTAAATTTTTGAATTGTTATAATTCAAAACTACTTTTTCTAATTTTACTATAGTGTTCTTCAGCTCACAATAGTATAAGAACAAAATCTTCAAAATGATTGGATAACGGTACAGAGTGAACATCCATTATTAATCCAACAAAAGCTAAATTACTCCCAATTTTACATTTGTAATTAATCAGAATTGCAAAGAAAAAAATAATTGACCATAATTTAAAACGTGAATGTCTCCAACCTAACATCAAAGTAAACTAGCATGATTTTTTTTTTTGTTATATTAACAATGCACTTGGTCAAATATACAATACTCCATCGATGCAAATCCCAAGACAAAAATGTTTATATAAATAATTAGTTCAGTTGACTTGTCCGTAAACCTTCGCGTCTTGAGATATGCATTGATGGTGTGATGTATGATTTGGTTTAAATGCATTAGCAATGTAAATTGGAAAATAAGTCGTGTCAATGAAACTTTTCATACCTACTCTGATAAACAAAAGGTAAGTTTGGTGTAATATGACAATATACAATTTGCATTCAAAAGTACAAAAGTTTTGTATGATGATTTTTCTAGATGATGCTAATGAGCCAGAATGATTAAGATGTTTCTGAATATTTTCGACTTTGTGAGAGCTAAGACCACCTCCAATAGGTGTTTCTTAACCTATTTCTTAGTAATTAAAAGCAAAAAAATAAATCAATAATAGTAATTAACTTAGTTAAGAAGTTTGGACAATGTTTCTTATTGTATGTGTTGTGTTTTTATTGGTTTGAGTGAAAGAAAAAAGAGGTTTTAGAGAAATTTATTTGGATAGCATGTTTTAAGTTTTTTTTTCAAAAATACCACCATTTAATTTTATAATTTCAAATATATCACAAGAGTTTTAGGGTATAATTTTTAGGGGTAGTGTTTAGTTTTCAGAATTTAGAAATTAGTTTGGAATGTGAAAATTTATGTTTTAGTTCTGTGGTATTTTAAAAAAAAATTATATTTTGGTTGTATTTTTGGAAAATAAACTTCATAATGGTATTTAAGAGAATTTCCCATGCTTTTATATTATGTTTGTTATAAATTAATAATTTTCATGTTTTTAAAATTTGTTTTTAATTTTTTTTATTAAGAACTTTAATTAGGAGTTTTACCATTGGAGTTGATCATTTTAATTATCTTCATAAAGTTCTTATTTTGAAAAAAGTACACAATTTAGTACTAAAAAATTACTAACAAATTTTAATAAGATACACCCATTGGAGGTGGTCTAATTCACCATCATCAATCTCTTTTAGGGTCTAAACTCACTCTAACATGTAAATATATATATTTTATAAATAACGTTTAAATACATTTTATAAACCACGTAAAAATCTTGTAAAACCTTTTTAAAACCATTTAAAACTTTAAAAATATTTGGATCGAGTGTCTCACTAGCAGTTCTTATCTAGAAGTACCTTATAAATCATATAAAATGTCATAATTTCAGCTTTAAAAAGGGTTATTTTTTATAATTGACAAATGAAAGGGCAAATTTGATAAAGAGTATACCATAAAGGGTGATAAAGAAATAAATGTATAGTAAGTAAGAGAATTAACAACCGAATACAGATTTAAAGTTACCTTCAACGAAGAAACTTTTCAAGAAGTCTTAACTTCATGCTGAAAATTGCAGATTTAAAATGAAAACCATCCCTCCACATCCAAATATCAAATGAAAACCATCTCTGCACATCCAACAGTTAAATACATTACATAACAAATCCATCAACACAAATAAGAAAGCAAATGTTATGGATCTTATTTTCTTAACCCAAATAGTTATTCCCATGGGGAATCAGAGGATTTAGCACCAATAAGAAATAAGATGATAAAGCCATATAACTAGTTTGTTACAGATCTTACTTTTATCATCTTCTAAACTACAATTCTGGAATCAAAGCCTAAACATCCAAACAATACAAATAAATTACAGACATACACAAAAATAATGAAGGAATAAAAAAAAATCTCTATAATCAAATAATCAATAACAAGAACATAAAATCTACCCACATATTTATAAAAAAAGTACATAAATCAAACGAAAGTACCTTTACTGAATGTTAAACCGATTGCGGTATCTCTAAATTGTTTAGATTCATCTCTCATAGTAATTGTTTTTGATCTAGTGAAAGCATTTGAAAAGTTATCATTCTAGCAAGTACGGCGGAAGTGAAAATGAAAGAAGAGATTATGAGAGTTTCAGATCATTATATACAAAAACTAAAACCCTAGTTGCATAATAAATAAAACACATACATTATTGTCGTTTAGAGTATGGGCTATATTGAGATTTATAACAAACATGATCCTTAATAAAACACTGGCCCTATACATTATCAATTAAAGGCCCAAATTCTATAGAATTTTCAATTTATATTACCAACTCTAAGATTATGTTAAAATCTGGATACTTGAATAACACAACATTCCAATAACATAGTTTTTGAATTGCACATTTTCACATTGAGCAAATGCCACAAAAAAGCCATAGGTTTTTATTGCTAAGGATGTAAAATTTCATTTCACATTGAAAGTGTAGGTTACTGATCAATTAAGGATAACCAAATCATGGTCTTGTGCCTAAAAAAGGATTAAAAAATATGGACATATACAACACTCTTGAACCTAAACCTCCATTCTCGTTAAAGAACATGTTCAAGAATAAGATAAGGTGTATCCCTAAAGCGTCTTAGCGAGTTAGGAATAGAAACCGCACGAAGACAGAGCATTAATCAGCAAAAAGTGATAGGTAGTCCTTCCAACGGTAATTCGAGTGTAATTGGAGCTGTGGAATTTCCGAGCTTAATGTGTTAGGTAGACAATGCTTGCTCACTCTAATGAGTCCCTCATTGAATCAAAAGCTTAGTGCCTGGCAACATCTTAAAATAGCCATACCGATCCTTGTAATTTAGATTTTAATTTGTTTGAAGACATTATCCTTCTCATGTTAATGATGTATTTATTATTATATGATCTTTTAAAATTAAAACATATTTTAGTTTTTTCACGGATGGGTGAAAGTGATCGCAATACGAATTTTTATCATGCTTGCACGAAGACCCGATTTGCTAAGAACACAATCAAGAGTATTAAGGATAACGCTTGGAAAGTATTTTCTGGGGCTGAAATGACTGGCACTCATGCTGCAGAATTCTTTACTGAAGTTTTCAAAAGCAATGGTCACCAAGTCACAACCTTAGATTTTGGGGATTTTAAACCATCGGTCACACCGAACATCAATGATAGCTTGACCCTGGATTTCAGCGATGATGAAATATACACTGCAATATGTCAAATAGGTGATGACAAAGCTCTAGGTCCGGATGGTCTAACAGCTAGATTTTATAAACACTGCTGGGATATTGTGGGTGGAGATGTCATAAAAGAGGTCAAGAATTATTTTGAAACTTCTTGTATGAACCCGGCACTGAATCATACAAATATTTGTATGATTCCGAAGACAGAAAATCTAGAGACCTTATTAGATTATCGACCAATAGCTTTGTGTAACGTCCTATACAAATCATCTCAAAGTGTTTGGTTTCACGGTTAAAGATGCATCTTAATGACATTGTGTCCGACTCTCAGGCAGCTTTCATCCCAGGACGGGTAATAAATGATAATTTTTTGATTCTTCATGAGCTTATGCACTCTTTAAAGTCCCGAAAACGAGTATCCCAAACTTATATGGCAATCAAGACTGATGGTAGCAAAGCGTATGATCGAGTAGAATGGAATTTCCTGGAAACTACGCTCCACCTTTTTGGTTTTTGTGATAAATGGATTGATTGGGTTATGGGAACGGTAAAAACAGTACACTATTCGATCCTGATTAATGGCACGCCACATGGTTTAGTAACCCCGCAGCGAGGTATCCGCCAAGGCGATCCTCTATCCCCATATTTATTTATTCTTTGTGCGGATACTTTAAGTCACCTCATTAAATCTCGAAGCATAGACGGTGATATTGGTAGTATAAAGATTGGTTTTGGGGTACCAGCTATAACCCATCTTCAGTTTGCGGATGATTTGCTTTTCTTCTGTCAAGCAAATAAACGGAACTGTTAGGCTCTAAAGGAAGTTTTTGATGTTTAAGAGTACTATTCGGGACAGAAAATCAACATGGCCAAATCGTTTATAACATTTGGTTCTAGAGTTTATGGTACAACCCAAAATCGACTCAAAAGCATTTTAAATATTCCAAACCATGGGGGTGGAGGTAAATATTTGGGCTTACTAGAACAGTTTAATCAAAAAAAGAAGGAGATGTTCAGTTATATTGTTGAACGTGTTCGTAAACGTACATCATACTGGAGTGCCAAACATCTATCCCCTGTCGGAAAAGAGATTATGATAAAGTCAGTTGCTTTAGCTATGCCTGTGTACGCTATGTCCTGTTTCGAGCTTCCCATCGGCATAGTTAATGAAATAGAAAGTACTTTAATGCACTACTGGTGGGAGAAAGGTTGAAAACAACAAGGTATCCCATGGATTGCGTAGAAACGTCTTCAATACTTCAAGAAGGAAGGTGGTTTGGGATTTAAAGATATAGCAAAATTTAATGATGCCCTATTAGCTAAACAAGCATGGCGAATATTGAAGAATCCACAATCTCTTGTGGCAACATTGATGAAAGCATGATATATCCCTGATTCCTCAATCTTAGAAGCTAAAGTAAGACAAAAACACTCATACGGATGATCCTCTTAGTTATTGTTAGTTGGAATAGATCTCTTAAAGAAAGGAACCCGTTTTATTGTTGGGAATGGGGACAAAATCAGAATGGGTATGGATAATATTGCTGCTGAGCACCCCCCGCGACCTCTAAATGTGGATATACAGTATACAGATTGTAAACTTCAAAAGCTGATGGTGACTAATGTTGTTCAGCGCTCTTGGAATATTAACATGGCATCTTCAATTTTATCTCCGAATGATCGTATCATCCTTAAAGGCATCCATCTTCCAATAAATGTTTTAGAAGATAGACTCATTTGGCATTACTCTCCTGATGGCCATTACTCAGTTCGCTCTGGATATTGGTTTTTAACCCATGATCCCTATAACTCTCAAACTTCTCAACCTCCCATGACTGCCATAGACCTTAAAAATAAGATATGGAAGTTGCCCATACTACCGAGGAATGAATATTGATTACTTGTTACTTGTTCCCGTTTCACCACTCGAGGAATGAATATTGATTCGATCTGCCCTTGTTGCCGTCAAGATCATGAAACTATAGAGCATGCTTTATTTTCTTGTTCTTTTGCTAGTAAGGTTTGGCGACTTGCTAATACAAATCATCAGTTCACAACCAATGTGGAGGACAACATAAACAATATGGTGGAATTTGCATATGCGTCTAATGTCTCTAGAGATCAACAACTTCTTCCTATATGGTTATTATGGCGAATTTGGAAGGCGAGAAATAATTCTGTTTTTAATAACTTCAGGGAGGTTACATCGCAAACAATTTTGAAAGCAAAGGCGGAATTGAGCGAATGGAATACCCATCGCTTTGGGACTTTCAGTACAAACTACAGACCGCCACGACAAAACATCTGGACAAGGCCGACTCAACCTTTTGTTTGTCAAATGCAATTTTGATGCAAGATTTGATTACACCAACATTTTTTCCACTAGTGGCTGGATTCTAGGGGATAGTCGAGGTGATATGAATGGTTGGGGTTCCTCCAATTTATCGTTTACATCATCTCCTCTTATTGCGGAAACAAAAGGATTACTAGCGGCGATGCAACAAATTTGGCTCTAGGGTCATCAGAATGTTATTTTTGAAGGAGATTGTGAGGTTTTGATCATGGCCATAAACCGTAGGACGGATCGCATAGATATTGAAAATCTCCTTCATGATATTCATCACTAGAAAGATAAATTTAATTCCGTTATTTTTTCTTATGTATCGCGTACTTGTAATAATGCTGCACATGAGCTAGCCGATGTCGTCAATCATTTTGATGCAGATTTGATTACTGATACTAGTTTTGTAACCCTGCCAGTTTAGTTATCTCACCGACTTTGTAACATTATTCATGATGAATTAAAAAAAATTTGATGAAAAAAAACATTTTTTAGTGTTTTTAAAGTATAATTTTATTATTCAATTGATTAATCTATATTAACATTTTGGAGCAACTTATGAAAAAAATCTTGGAGTTCAATAGTATTTACAGAGAATGCCACTACCATTAATTGTTTTTTCCTTTAAAAAAAAAAATTGATTCCACTATTAAAAAATATATATTCAAAACCCATTCCCTTAAATTTCTCCCCGCATATCCGAATTAGTTATTGATTTAAATCAAAATAATCAAAATAGTTAATGATTTTGCATTAATGCTAAAATAATGGCAGCGTCGTTTATTTCATTTAACAGTTTTGTAAAATTAATACATATATATACACTATTATTTAATAATTATATTTGAAAATATCCATAATCAATTTCAAGTTTTCAAAAAGGTAAAAAAAACATTTTGGATGAAATAGTATAAAACGATAAAAAGTTTATAATATGTATAATCACTGATTTAACTAATATATAAAATCAAAAATAATTGATACATAAAATCTTAATTAAATGGAAAATCTTAATCTACTATAGTATTTTTGTTACACTTTTTGCAAAAAAATAAAATCTTCTATAATATTTTTGCAACACGTTTTGGAAAAAATACTATAGCTAACATTTATTACTCTTGATGCATTTAATCTTTTCTAAGAAATAAAAAACACATTTAATTACTTTCTCTAATCTTATTATATAAACCTAGGTTTTCAAAGTTAGCCATTAACAAAATTATGTGACACGTGTCAATTATAAACGATAAGATGTTGACACGTGTCGTAACTAATTTTGTTAATATTTGGATAAAATAGAAATATTATTAACCCTATCGAAAAAGGAAATATATAAAATAAATATTATAAAGAATTATATATTAAAAATATTAAGAAAATTAAACAAAATAACCTAATTTCAGTTATGTCAATTTGGTTTATTAATAAGATAGGGATTTAAATTTTATAATTAACAAAATTATATGGCGGTTTTTGTTTACAGAAGATGATTAAGGTTTAAACTTTAATTTTACAATTAAATCAGGTTATTTTTTGGTTTGGGTATATAAATGATAAATAAGAATTATGG